TTCTCGCCAATCATATAGTGCTTCCTGTCTTTTTTATAGAAAAAATCGTACTTCTCTTGTAGCAGTAGCTAGCATTCGAGTCCTTGGTACCAGAAAAGGAGGGTTCAATTAGTGCCACTATCTTTTGTCCAAGCGATGACTGCCCTTACTCTAACAAGTAAGCAAGTAAACAGCCTTATGCTTTACACTAGGTTCGAAGATCTTAGTATATACTATGCTTGAGGAAAGAAAGATGATAGAAAAGGTTCAATATTAGCGAATTGCCTCTGACTACTCTGTAAATATACATTTCTAATCAATAGGTAAGATACCCACGAGCGGTTAACAAGAAGGATAAGATGGAGAGAAGGAATCTCGGAATAGAATAGGGTCTTTGGCTGCTTTCAGGACGGCTTACCGCACAGATGCTCTCGAAGCTGATCTGGTAGTCGCTAGCAGAGGAAGGCCCTCGCCCATTAGCCCTAGCTGACCAAGAGAGAACAGAAAGACCCCCTCTTCTACTGCTGCCACTTCCTTACATTCAACATTAAAGAAGAAAGAATAGACTCTCTCTAACTATGAGAATGCTTCCCGCGTTCTCCCCTAAAAGGCGAAGACAGATATCGGTGGTATCAAAGAATACCTGTATAGGATGCGGCAAGAATCATGGTTAGACGGTGATTACCTTGGAAATTACAAATATGTGCTAAGTTATTACACTAATATGGGCGATACAATTGATCGGTGGGATCCTTCGAAGAACTCCGCTATTCAGATAGCTGCAGCTATCACAGCATGTTCTAGTATCTATATGTACCCTTACATCTCCAGAGATGACTGCTACTCCACATTGGTGGTAAATGGGTGGGTAGTACTCCTAAGGTAGTGTTTGACTTAGAAAGTCTAGATAACGCAGGAAAAGAGATTTTCTTTAGCATGAAACAGAAACTCTCTTCCCAAAAGATGGAGAATCTCCGTCTTAGAGAGAAAATTGCTAGTATGGAAAATAAAATAAGTAAGGATTTGGTGCCAACTGAAGAAAGAACGATGCTAGATAGCGAAGAAGAAAGCGAGGGAACTAACCATACATTAGAAGAGAATAATAAGACAGACGATAAGAAGCCTGATACCTAAGACTGATATACAGGGTTAGATAGATAAGAACATTAAACCAGATACCTCTATAGAGGCCTATAACGAAGTTTAGCGATGAGTTCTTGGGAATGTTAAGAAACCTGTTGTTTTCTTACATGATGGGGGGTTTTTTGTTATCCAATTTTTCTCTATTGAAGATAAGAATGAGATTGTGTACTCCGGTCCTCACTTTGGTCAGCCTATGTTGGTCTGTCAGTTTTGATTTCTATGAGGAAATTCTTAAGGTGATTCCCATTTGGGTTAAGCTTCCTAATCCGCCTCTCAAGCTAGAATTTCATTTGCTAGATTATTAGTGGAAATGGATGTTACTGTGCCCCTGCCTGAAGTCATATGGATTGAAGATAGGAAGGGAAATGTGTTTAAGCAAGAAGTTTGGTACGATTGGACTCCTTGTCAGAAATGTCAACTGGTTGGACATTCATGTGATGATTGGGCTCCGGTGTACAAGAATGCAAGCTCTAAACAACCTAAGAAAGTGTGGGTTGTTAAGAAGACTCAGGAAGTTCCGGCTAATACTAATGTTACTCCACCTAATCATCATGCTCCTGTTAATGATGAAGCACAGGAAGGCTGGAAAGTGGTCCAAAAGAAACATCAGAAAAGGAATATACCTTCGAAGTCTGGGAAGAAAGAATCCTTTTCATGTGCTCAATGAGGATGAGGAGATCCATGAAATGGATAGTGAGGAGGAAATGGAAGAGAATGACTATGCTGCTAGACCATCCGGGGGTCCCCCCCGTGGTCAAATGATTGTGTGCACTTGGAATGTAAGGGCCCCGTGGGCACCAAAAACGGAGGTTAAAAAATTCCTAAATAAGCATAAAATCTCAGCGGTTGGTCTCTTGGAAACTAGAGTAAGGGTAAATAATAGTGCGAAGATTCAGAAGAGGTTTGCCACTAACAAAAGAAATATGCTGCATGACAGGAGTGGAAACCAAATTACTGATGCAGATGCGATTTGAGAGGAGATTCTCAGTTTCTACAAGGGTCTGTTAGGCTCATGTGCAGACTCTTTGCCTTGTATTGATCTGAGTATTATGAGGAAAGGTAGAACTTTGAGCAATGAAGCCAGGAGCTCTCTCTGTCAACCAGTCACAACTGAAGAAATTGAGAGTGCTCTTTTTAGATCAAAAGTAGAAGTCTTTCGCTGTGACTAAGGATAGACAGGACTCTCGGTTCGTCTGAGCCTGAGTCGAAGACTTCGGGTCCTGCATCTGCTTCAGTTAATTAGGTTAAAATGTGCCTTAACTTAATGGTGTTTTGATCTAATCCTAGCTAGTCATCATCCGAAGTTGAGGCCTTTCATCCAATGGTCTGTCAAAGAAGAGGTCAACCATCGCAATAGAGAAGGGCCTAAAAGGTACGAGGAGGAAAAACCGGAGTACAACTTAGACATAAGGTTTGAAATTGGGCTGTACCAATTCTACAGGAGTAAGACATTCACCCCTGGTCTTTCTTTCGATTCGGGCATATCTTTAATATGAATATGAATCTATAAATTACCATTAAATGCCCTGCTGAGATGATAATAGGATGGGCGTATAGACAGTGAATCAATAGTATAAGCAATAGGCGATTAGGAAAGGACAAAGAAGGTCTTTGCACCAATCCCCTCTTTGAATAGCCTCTTTGAAGGACAACTTCTATTGTTTAATGGACGAGGAGTAGGAGGGAGGAACGAAATTCATGCTAGGTTGTGAGGGAATGCCTTCTTACTCTTGGAGAATCAACTGATAGTCTTTTCGACGAATTCACTGCTTGAGAATCTATCCCTTTTTTACCGAAACGGACATCCATATAATGGTATAAGGAATATGCCCACAATCGGGCGATAGACGGATATAATCCTACCAAACTTAGAAAAAGTCTTATTGCCCTAGAAGCCAAAACTCTTAACTAACTCTTAGGCGAAAGGCTTCCATGCTGAAGAGCCTGATATGAAAGAAAGCTAGAACTCCAAGTACAGACAGAGAGAGGGAGATATTGTCTTATATAAAATAGGTTGTTAGGAAGAATCAGCAGCAGATGTTAGAAAGTGAACTGTACTGCTGCATTCCGTAGAATTCCGGGAATTGGAACTGGCAAAAGAGGAGACTTTTGCATACCTTACTTACGGCACACAAGATGATGTTTCCTGGTTTTAGATCCACAGCCAACTTTTTATAGCTCATACAAATCATCTCTGTGTCTCCCTTGATGGTGTAATCAGTGGAAACAGTGATTTCCTGTCCCTCTGTCAGTTGGATGGGCTTCCCATCCTTCAGAAATCCAGTACGAATTTCAGGTCCCTTGGTGTCAAGCATAAGAGCACATAAGATCTGAGTGTTCTGCATAGCAATCTTGATATTTTCAAAAGTCTCTTGATGATACTCATGTGTTCCATGTGAGAAGTTAAATCGAGCGACATTCATCCCCGCTCTCAGCAGCTTCTCTAGCATCGGCACCGACCTCGAAGCCGGTCCAAGCGTACACACGATCTTCGTCTTCGGTACTCTTCCATCCTCAGGAATCTCCTTCAATATCAATGTTCGCCATTCCAGAAAGTCAGAATTGAAAAACCCTAGAAAACACGCAGCTGGGATTCGGGGACAAGTCAGTGGGCTGGAAAAAGCGAAGAACGAGGAAGACGCCATGTTCAAGGGCAGTGAATTCTTTAAGGTTTCCATTGACATATCTCCCATATCTTCCAACCTTCCCAACTTCAGATCCATTGAAAAAGACAATGCGAAAGAAGGAATAGAACTTCGAAGCTTTGGTAACAAAAGAATATATGAGAATAGCTCAAATTTTTTCTTGAGGATCTTTAGAAAATGATCAAGCCAATATAATAATACCTACACTCTTAGGCAATCCGGCAAGCTTGCAGGTTATATTATAGGCAAGCAGTAATTCTTATTGTAATTGCGTATATAAAGAAAAAAAGATTCTGAATGTCGGTAAATGTTTTTGACTGAACCTCCCGTTGTTCTCTCTCCGATAGCACGCAGCCGATAATAGAGACAGATAGAAAGTGTGCAGTGAAGGGTCTTTCGTCAGAAGCAGTCTTTCTTAACTTGGAAAAAGGGCTCAAACAATGCCTGTCCCATTCCGTTGTTGGTCAACAACCAACCACCTATACATACTTTAACCACCAAATCTAGAGGCTTGACGGAGTTAAGCTGTCTGGAGAGAATCACTTAAAATCAAACATTCTTATGCCTCAACTGGATCAATTTACTTATTTCACACAATTCTTCTGGTTATGCCTCTTCTTCTTTACTTTCTATATTCTAATATGCAATGATAGGTATGGAGTACTTGGGATCAGCAGAATTCTAAAACTACGAAATCAACTGCTTTCACACCGGGGGAACAACATCCAAAGCAAGGATCCCAAGAGTTTGGAAGATATCTTGAGAAAAGGTTTTAACACAGGTGTATCCTATATGTACTCTAGTTTATTCGAAGTATCCCAATGGTGTAAGGCCGCCGACTTATTTGGAAAAAGGAAGAAAATCACTTTGATCTCTTGTTTCGGAGAAATAAGTGGCTCACGAGGAATGGAAAGAAACATATTCTATTTGATCTCGAAGTCTTCATATAGCACTTCTTCCAATCCTGGATGGGTGATCACTTGTAAGAATGACATAATGCTAATCCATGTTCTACACGGCCAAGGAAGTTTTAAAATATGACCATCAGAATGATTTTATACCTATCGGTCACCTTCTAGGTTCTTTGACTTTTTGTATTACCACGTCCCAAAAAGGGACGGGAACTTTTTTTTGTTTTCCAAATACTCAATCAATCGGATTTTATATAAGATGATCTTTCAGCTATATGGCTGAAAGCCCTTTGGCTACTCTACTGTATAATAAAGTCTCGTTCTTACCACTATCCTTTTGAAGCGGGCAGGGAACAGTGCTCATGCTATAGAGATTTGAAAAGAAAAGCCAACTCATGTTTCCCCTCCATTTTCATTACGAAGATGTTTCACGTCAAGATCCGTTGCTCAAACCGAATCACGCCAACGTTATGGACGTTCCTGGATTGTGTGAAATAAGAGTAGTACCAAAGGCAGCACCTTCTGATTTCATAATCCAAAATGGAAAATTGGCTATGGAGATTCCGTGCGGTCAGAAATTTATACGGACACGCAGGGGCTCGATAGGAAAGTCGTTTCGATCCAATCCATTCTTGGGGTCAAATAAAGACAAAGGATATGTCAATGACCTAGCACGACAAAGCACTCTCCGAGGGCATGGAATGTTTCATTTTTTGGTCAGAATCTCGACAGTAATGTCTCTCTTAGATTCTCTGGTGGAAATACGGGAAAACTCCATTCAATTCTCGATGGAAACGGAGTTTTGCGAATTCTCCCCGGAACTAGAAGATCATTTTGAGATCTTCGAACATATTCGAGGGTTCAATGTAACTATTGTCACTTCAGCCAACACACAAGATGAGACTTTACTACCGTGGAGCGGCTTTTTGCAAAAAGATGAGGGTCAGTAAGATGCCGGAAAATCGAAATATACGAGATCACAAACGTGGATTGCTCGCAGCTAAAACAAAAAAGACGTTAGAAAGCTTTTTGTAAAGATCCCGATACCGGTTTTTCCGGCTCCGTGACCGAAAAGACCTAACGGACTAATCCCTTATCTCGAATCGGAGATGCTAACGGGGCGGGAATCTAAGTGGGGGACCCCTCTACCGCCGGCGTCTATCTCCTGTCAAGTATGCTTTCCAGACATAGACTACGTACAGGGTAGTACTCTTGGAAAGATAGAATCTCACCGGGTATAACATTTTTAAATAAGTTACGAAAGTGACTCCCGAAAGATCGACCACTATTCTAAATATAGTAAGGCGGAGAACTCTTGTTCATTGGAGCGCCGGAGTGCAGAGGTTGTTCCCATCATTGAAGTCCGAGTGTGGGACTGAGCCTTCCGAATGAGAAAGACAATAAAGTGCTTTGTTTCGTTGGAAAAACCAACGCAAAAAAAAAGATAAAATTGACTTTCAAAAACCTACTTCTATAGATAGAAAAGGTTGGAAAGAGTTACTTTTTCGAATTCCCTCCCTTTATACGCTCTTTTCTAGGGGTCCCATTCAATTCCTTTGACCGGTCGTTTCGAGCTTCCAGTTCTTCTGGATTGCTAATGTGGTTCGATGACGCCGATGGAAGGAACCACTGGAGATTCATCCAACTTCGATCCCCTAAAGGCAAGTACGTAGTCTAAAGAATCCCAAATATAATAGAATAATCAAAAGAGCTCCTTCGGCTCTAAACAGCTACTGACCTAATTGGGAGCTTTTCAGCCAAGGTCGTCGGATTTAGAGGTCCTTTCGCAAGGTAATTCCTATTTGCTTACTTAGAACAAGTAAGGGTCCAGATCATTCCATTGGGGAGAAAGCAGGAGTCATCCATATATAGATGAATAGTACCAGTGGCGTCTAGGAGGAAGACGGGGAGTGACTGGGGTGGGGAAGAAGAGTTGTCACAATAGAAAGAATCTTGGCAAAGCAAATGAGTATAAGAAACCAACGATTCTCTGTTCTTAAACAACCCATATTTTCCACACTTAATCAGCATTTTATAGATTATCCAACCCCGAGCAATATTAGTTATTGGTGGGGATTCGGTTCGTTAGCTGGGATTTGTTTAGTCATTCAGATAGTGACTGGCGTTTTTTTAGCTATGCATTATACACCTCATGTGGATCTAGCTTTCAACAGCGTAGAACACATTATGAGGGATGTTGAAGGGGGCTGGTTGCTCCGTTATATGCATGCTAATGGGGCAAGTATGTTTCTCATTGTGGTTCACCTTCATATTTTTCGTGGTCTATATCATGCGAGTTATAGCAGTCCTAGGGAATTTGTTCGGTGTCTCGGAGTTGTAATCTTCTTATTAATGATTGTGACAGCTTTTATAGGATACGTACTACCTTGGGGTCAGATGAGCTTTTGGGGAGCTACAGTAATTACAAGCTTAGCTAGCGCTATACCTGTAGTAGGAGATAGCATAGTGACTTGGCTTTGGGGTGGTTTCTCCGTGGACAATGCCACCTTAAATCGTTTTTTTAGTCTTCATCATTTACTCCCTTTTGTTTTAGTAGGCGCCAGTCTTCTTCATCTGGCCGCATTGCATCAATATGGATCAAATAATCCATTAGGTGTACATTCAGAGATGGATAAAATTGCCTTTTACCCTTATTTTTATGTAAAGGATCTAGTAGGTTGGGTAGCTTTTGCTATCTTTTTTTCCTTTTGGATTTTTTATGCTCCTAATGTTTTGGGGCATCCCGACAATTATATACCTGCTAATCCGATGCCCACCCCGCCTCATATTGTGCCGGAATGGTATTTCTTACCCATCTATGCCATTCTTCGTAGTATACCCGACAAATCGGGAGGTGTAGCCGCAATAGCACCCGTTTTTATATGTCTCTTGGCTTTACCTTTTTTTAAAAGTATGTATGTACGTAGTTCAAGTTTTCGCCCGATTTACCAAGGACTATTTTGGTTGCTTTTGGCGGATTGCTTACTACTAGGTTGGATCGGATGTCAACCTGTGGAAGCACCCTTTGTTACTATTGGACAAATTCCTTCTTTTCTTTTCTTCTTGTTCTTTGCCATAACGCCCATTCTGGGACGAGTTGGAAGAATAATTCCTAATTATTACACGGATGAGACTGAGACCACCTGATCAGTGTAAAATTCTTATACCAATAATTGACGAGTGAGTATTACACCAATAATTGACAAGCGGATTCGTTTTTTCTAGTTGGCTATGTTGATATAGCTTAGATAGGGAAAAGAAAGTCTACTATACTATAGGGTAAGGGTGAACTTTCAAATCCGGTTGTTCCCGAAACTCCCCGTCCCTTACTCGTCTTTTGAAAGCAAGAACATTCGCATAGAAGAGTCTCTGTATCATGCATGCTCCTCCACTTTTGAAAAAAAAAAAGAAAAAATCTTGAATAAGAATCTTAAATAGAACTAATGAATCTTCCTTTGTAGGAACTTAACTTCCACTCCTGAAGTCAGGTCTTCCTTCCCCCACAGAACCAGATTCTGTCTTCTAATCCTATGAGGAAACATAGTATGCTACCACTTGTCTTTGTTGCTGAGTCGGTTTCTTTTGCTCAACCATATTCTGTAGAGGAATCGGAGAATGTTTCCGAATCGGCTGTGTTCCTTCTACTGATTTCATAGCTGGGATAGGTAGGCTTTTCATTTTCATTTGAATAAGATCCAATCTCTAAGACTAAGATAAGTAAGATACCACATCACATCTTTTGACGTTCGTAGATAGCAAAAAAAAAGAAAGAGGAATCCTAGACTCTTATCGGCTCTTCAAGCAAGCGCGATAGCTGAATCCAGCAAGCCATAAAAGAAAAGCGGATATAAGAGAAAGGCAACGAACGCATAAGCACACGAGTACTTAGTAGACTTATGGGTTGGATGCTTCTTTACGGCTCTATAGTAAGCTCCGGATAGTTCGAGGAAGCCCCTATCGATACCATTAAAGGCAGAAATCGTGAATAACTAATACGAACAGCGGCAGAATAGAAGCCGAAAGCCAGAGCTGACTTATTGATTTGATGCTGAAAATCCGATCTGCAGATGAAGCAGAAGCAGGCAAAAGGCTCAAGGCATAAAGGCGATTATTCCCTTCTTGAGCTAAATCATTGACCTCGCGCCTGGTTTGATTAGGACATTGCCGCATTTCATCTCAAAGAGGATCTAACTCTTTCTTTCCGTCTTAGCCGAACTACCTGGCTCGGGTCAATTCACTCTTTCTTTATCGCAAGCAAATAGCCAAAGAGCTGATGAAAGAGCACCGTCTTCTCTTATTCCTGAAAAGATCTGCAGAGCAATTATTACAAAAAGACTAGCATCTCTAACGGGAAAGCAAAGACCTCCCCTTTGTTTGGTGGCCTCCTTCCAAAAGCATAGCTTTAGCTATTACAACCCTTGAGAAGAGTGAAAGCAGAATCAGACTCTCGTACGGCCTTCCTTCCCCAATAATGCCGCTATCATGCGCGAAGCGAAGCTTGATAGGAGCCCGAGCTAAGAGAATAGAGCAAACTCGACGTCACAAAACCAGGAATAGATCGTTCAAGGGAGCAACTCGAGATAGATGCAAGATTCTTTCTCCTTTTCCGAGGTCAAGTGCGCAAGAAAAAAACGAAAGTAGGTTGGTTGAAGGCCTACTACCTACTTTTTTCAGTATTCGAAATCTCTCTTCGTGGGAAAGCCTTCTTCTCTAAGACTGCTTTCTCATTCCTACTCTTCTACCCCTAGTCTCAATTCTCAAGAAGTGAGCGAGACGGCAAGTCTGCCTTGTCCAGAACGGAAAGCAAGCAAGAAAGCTAGCCATCTTCGACCTCATCTTCTGGCCACACTTCCTCTGGCATTACGACCTTTCACCTTAAAGGTACGTAGTCGCTTATTAGAAGCTTTTGGCTGGTCTATCGCTATTTATTTCGCTATTCAATTGGTCAATCCGACAAACAAATCAGAAGTTGGTCTTCGACCTAGCCCTTGTCGATCTCAAGATCTGTTGAGAAGTGGTGCAACCCAGATGCTGTAAGCTTCGGAGCAGCCTTTCCCGACAGAAGCAACAAACAGGCGCAAATAGAACAACACAGAAGCAAGAGGTACGCGTGTAGAAAAACAGATAGAAGAAGAACGCGAATTCGGAACCCCTTAAGGTAATCACGGGGGTTGCTTTTCGAACAATTCGAATAGATAAAGTATGCCCGCGTGGCGAAATCTGAGATACCAAATGTTTTCATTTCCCTAGGATCGAGCGATAGGGTGCCTGCCTACAGTTAAGAATTGATCTCCTCCAAAACGAGAAAGTCAAAAAGAAAGTTCGTGTGTATGCCAGCGTTACGGCTTAGCCAACCACTGCTTAGGTTGCTTTTACAGCAGAACTCTCCTCATGGCAGAGAGAGGCCAGGAGTCGGGAGTGGAGCCCTCTTGGAGACTTGTTCACCCGAGGCAGTACATCGCCCGAGCCTTACTTAAACTTAAAGGCCGCTGCCTTCCAAAAGCATAGCTTTAGCGAGTAAACTACCAAAAGCATCTAATAAGCGATTACATACCTCCAGGAGTGAAGTTTCTATTGAGTCAGATCTGGGATTCGTTTCCAAATTCATCTCATCCGCTTTTTTCAGTCTATAAAAACGCAGAATGTCGAATTTAAGGTCGATGTCAGGTACACGCTTTTGGGGCCCCGTAAAGGCATCGGTACTACTGCCGCGCTCAATGCGGCAAAGCCAACGAATGTAGCACCGAACTTCCGCTAGGGTAGGGTTGGGGCCCATACCCCGCGCTGTTTGCTCAGTTGCCCCCATTCTGAGGACAATCGGCCGGAAAGCCTCTTCCGGAGGAAATCTTTCCATTATCTCCGGAAAGAGATTCCCAGCCATGTAATTCAAAATCAATTGAGAAAGAAAAAGCCCATGCTTTGGTGTAGCACCGGTTCTGGCAACTCTTTTTATATATATCCGATATGATATCCTGGACTCAAGAAAGGAATTCACAAATGAATGAGCGACTATATCATGGGAATATTCCACTGGTGAACGGCGACAACTTGGCTAAGCCCAGTTTAAGAGCTTACTATAGTATAAAAATTCCATCCTATACTTTTCTCCCTAGGAAGTCTTCGAGGCAAAAGAGTGAAAGTGGGAATCGGCATAGGGCGCTGTAAAGGCCATTCTTTAAAAAAGAAAGGTGAAGTCCGAGGGCTAGGTTCAAGGGTTGGTCGCGCTATTTCATATCCTCCGTCGGTGTCTTTTCACCTCCGAGAAGTTTTTTTTTTCGGACTTTTAAAAAGCTTTGGATGTACAAGAGCTTGTTTACAATTGATCACATTTGAGCATGCAACTCTCCTAGTCTCATCTTTGGGGCGAAGTAAGCCAATTACATTGCCTATATTGGTAAGGTTAAGCAGTTTAATCGCATTTCTCGTCTCTCGCTCTGATCTGGTGTCGTCGCTCACAGTCCAAGAAAGGTAGTCCTTTCATTGGCTAACGGGATTAGGCCTAATGGGATAGACCGATCATCGCTTCCTTCCTCTACTAGTTCTGGAGTCAAGCCAGCAAAGAAAAGACTTCTTATAGGTCGATCCGGCCGGGGCTGAGGTGCAAAGACAAAGGAATATGGTAGGTATAAGGAATATAACAAGCAATCAAAGGAATGCAGACGTTGGTAAGGGTAAAGGAGCTAGAAAGATAAGTTAAGGTCGGTAGGCAAAACAGGGGGTTTGGCAACGAATGCTGTTCACACGAAAACTATTCCTTTAGTCTCTCCTCTCGCCGCTCATACGCCTCCTTCCAGTTAGTTGCTTATTGGGAGATCGAAATCAAGATTGGGACCTGAATGAAGTAGTAAAACGAAGAAGGTCAACCAAGCGTACTAATGTGGCTGTGGGCATTTCTTCTGAAAGCCTTTCTTATATGCTTTATTATGCCTTTGGAGTGCCTAAAGACAAATGAACGAAGTGTCAAAAAATGGTAAGGGACACGAGTGAACAGATTCAAGGGAGAGTTGAAACCGCTTACCCTCCCTTTATTGAACGTCATAGCCGATATGATGATAGGAAGTTCTACATAGAAACAAAATTTCTAATTAGATGCTTTGGGTATAGCAGGACTTGAACCTGCGACCATTAGGTTAAAAGCCCAATGCTCTACCAACTGAGCTATACACCCCAAAAAAGATTGAGTAGTAAATAAAGATTGGTTCGGAAAAGAAGGCGGCCCCTTGGCTGCTCATCATAAAGGGCGCGGCTCTATATGAGGTTCGTACTGCAGAGCAAGCGAAGAAAACGTAAGGGCGCGCGTTAGCACTCCTGCAAGAAAACGAAAACTAAGTTTCGCCTTTTTCGATATGAGAAATGAGAAAGATGCGCTCAAGCACCCAACCCATACTTTGTTCTGCTTGCCGAAGCCTTACTCAACAAGGACCTTTCTTTTTAATGAATCTATATCTGTGCACGGAAGTTGCTGGCCGGCGGCCGCTCAACTGTTCGAGCGCAATGCAGTGGTAGTTGGTTCCGATTCGACAAGGGCAGAATGCCTGGTCGAAGGTCCAAAGTAGGTGGCAGGCGTGTTCGTTTTGGCTCCCGAGCGAGAACAAGAAATAGGCGATGCACCATCCTTGCTGCTATGTACGTTGACCTTTACTTGAAAAATTCATCCAATTGAACCCACACTCAAAGGAGGACCACAAGCTCGGGGCTCGACGAAAGAAAAAATGGAAGCATTAAATTAAGAAAATGAGGTTAGCAGTGAAAGAAAGAGCCCGGCATTCATTTCTTCATTCATATAAATAGCTGAGTCTACTAAAAGAGAAAGCAGCCTCATCGTGTCATATTAGAGGAGACCTCTGATCGTTCACCCCTAATATGACACGTTCCCTCCCAGTTATATGATCAACGGGATCAGTCGGTTAGAGAGCGGGGCTATTGTAGGCAAAGTCGTCCCCTCTACTGACCGAACCGAACCCTCAGTTCGAAAGTAAGTCTTCGGCGGGTCACCATTACTTGACTTAGAAAGGCGAACATCTGAGAAAGGGAAAGCGCGGTGCGCCTGGTGCAAATGGCTTTCTTTTCTCATGATATACCAAGCGGAATGGAGGGTCCTACCCACGTACATGATTGATAGAATCACTACGTAGGGGGCGGGGGGAGCGGTCAACTTGATGCGGAAAAGGCATGAGTGCAGTTCCGATCTTTTAGTGTATTCCTTTGTAGTGAGTAGGGCCTCTTTCTCGTTGATCAGTTCGCCTTTGTTCTATTGAAAGGTCTCCATTCCTACGGCGGTTTTGTCAACGAACGCGTCTCGAGCCGGATTTACTAACCTAACCCTTAAGGAGGCCTTGCCATAGTTGGGTGCTCTGCTTTAGTGTGATTGACGAAGGCTAGGTTTGGAAATATCCAAAACAAATGAA